TCATCCATGTGANCAAAAAAAAACGATTATAAGTAATATTTATACAAGTAATATTTTATACAAAATCAATAAATATTATATTACCTCACATTGTCACCATTTGAGAATAGTACAAGTTCCAAATTAACGAAATCAGAATATGTCACTGTTTTCGTCTCTTTTGTGTACAGGTATCTCTCTGACAGTCCTATTTCCTTTCTCCTCTTAACTTCATCCATGTGATTAGTCAACCATTCCTTACGTTGATCTGCACCTTTCTTTGAAAATGCAAGTTCAATATGGTGATCATCAGTTGGACCACTATACTTGAATCGAATTCGGTGCCTATCCATATTTTGGAAATATTCTTTAGCCTCCTTTGATGTGGAGGTACCCAAACCTTTGTAGTATTTTATATTATATGTGTGATGGTTTTCTGTTTCTTTTTTCCATTCTTCAAACTCTGGTAAAGAATAGAAAGATATTTCTTTGTCTTTTTTTGTAGCTTTGACAATAGGTGTAATGAATTCTTCTAAAAATGGCAATTTCAATAGCTCAGGCCAATTATGATGTATAAAATTGATAATCAGACCCTTAATATGCGATCCATCTTGATCCTGATCAGCCATGATCATTACTTTACCATAACGTAATGTTTTCAAATCATCAACTGAGTTATATTTTTTCTTGTACTGTAATCCAAGAATTTTAATCAAATTATTGATTTCAACATTTTCTAGAACTTGCTTGTGGGACGCATCTCGCACATTTAAAGGTTTACCCTTTAATGGAAACACTCCGTAATGATCTCTACCTACAACACTGAGTCCTGATACAGCCAATGTTTTAGCCGAGTCTCCCTCAGTCAAAATCAATGTACAGAGATGTGCATTCTTTGTGCCTGCATCATTAGCATCTTCCAATTTCGGTATGCCCTTCAATTTACTCTGTTTCTTTCCAGATGCCTTAACTAATTGATCTTGAGCCTTAAATTTCGCCCAAGTCAGAACAGATTCCACCAAACCACATTTGGTAACTGCTGTGATGAACTTTTCAGACAAATTACACTTTGACCCAAAGCTTTTAGCTTGGAGTGTCATGTTCTCTTTAGTTTGTGAATCAAAGGTAGGGTTTACAATCAGGCAGTTGACAAATAACCACATGTGAGTTTTAACTTGGTATGGCTTAATATTAACACCACCTTTATTCTTCTTTTTAAGTACTTCTAAAACATTCTTGACCACACTGTCAGCTACTGTATCAACATGTTTACCACCTTTTGTGGTTGCAATAGAGTTAACAAAAGAAACTTGTTGAAATCCCATGTCAGATATTGTAAGAGCGACCTCCCAGCGGTCACTCACTTTCTCATAAACAACTTTCAATGGTTGGCCATTTTCGTCCTCTTTTCCTTTAATGTATAAATCTACATAGTCCTTAAATTTATTAATTTTTAGTCTTTCACCATTTAAATAAACCTTTACACCTTGCGATGAGGCTGCTACGTCATATGCTCGTCTTGACATTAGTAACACAATGTCGTCTTCCAATTTTTCCATTTTAAATTTAGCCAAATCTGGACTAAACACTATTTTAGTAAAGTCATCGTCTTTCCCAGAATCTTTAATCTTAGGTTCAGAAGCCTTAGTCATATTGGAACCCCATGTCTGTTTAAAGTGTTTCTTGTACTGNACACCTTGCGATGAGGCTGCTACGTCATATGCTCGTCTTGACATTAGTAACACAATGTCGTCTTCCAATTTTTCCATTTTAAATTTAGCCAAATCTGGACTAAACACTATTTTAGTAAAGTCATCGTCTTTCCCAGAATCTTTAATCTTAGGTTCAGAAGCCTTAGTCATATTGGAACCCCATGTCTGTTTAAAGTGTTTCTTGTACTGTTTTGAAGCAGTTTCCACTGTGAATTTAGTTGAGAAAATATTACAGAGTTTTGCACCATAACCATTCCTACCACCTGTGACTTTTTCCTCTTCATCATTATAATTGGACGAAGTCAACAAATGCCCAAAGATCATAGTCGGCACATACATCTTCTCATCTTTATGCATTACTACAGGGATACCACAACCATTATTGTAGACGGATATTGTGTTTGTTTCTTGATTTATGTCAATTTTAATGACATCCATTTTGGGGTCTCTCTGCTTATTGTCAGCCGCATTAACCAAGATTTCATCATAAATTTTGTACAAACCTGGAAAAGAGGCAATCTATGCAGTTTACTCTCTGATTAATTGAAGATTTATTTTAAACTAAACAATATATAGTTTTTTATGTTTATTACCTGGCACAAAAGTCAACTCTTTTTGCATCATACACTCCTTCACCTTGTCATAAACCCACATAGTCTCGGTGGCTCTTTCCACTGAACCAATATAGGTGTCAGGACGTAGGAGGATGTGCTCTAACTGTGATTTCTTCTGGTATATCTTTTCAATGGCACCCTTCTGACCTTTAGCGGGTGCAGGCTCCCCAGTGCCATTCTGCTTTGGGCTGCTCATTTTATTAAACATTGACTGAAAGGTTAAAGATATATTTCTATGGGTACAGTTGTAAAAATAATAATCATTAAACTGTCTTATAATGAATATTTTTAACTAGATTTATTAATTTATAAATATTGGTTTAGGATGTTGTTACAATTAACTCAGAAAGAAATTAATTTGAACCATTTTTTGAAATTAGCAATAAATTTTATTACTTTGGTAGTGGTGTTGTTGAAAAAAATGCTTGAAAAGTACAGAATTTTTCCAAGACTTTTTTGTTCCAAGTTTTTGAAATTCATAATACCAATGCTTGATTTTAATAAAAAAATATTAATTATACAAATAATATGTTAAGCAAAAAAATAAAAGAAATCAGTTAACAAACAGTGAAATATGTTTAGTCTATTTAATTGCTTTGTCTTTGCCTTTTATTTATGGATATTCATTATTTAAAAAAATATCTATATATATAAAAATAAATTGCTGTTCGTTAGTCTCGCTAAAACTCAAGAACGGTTGGACAGATTTGGCTAATTTTGGTCTTAAATTATTTGTGGAAGTCCAGAGAAGGTTTAAAAGGCAGATAAATACGAAAATGCTCAGAATTAAATAGGAAATAACAATTTCGTTTTTGCTTTAATGTGTCCCCCTTCGGACGGATTCCTTTTGTTTGTTTTAAGTTTATTTTATATACATAATTATTATTATTTTATATACATATAATATACAAAAGTTTAGGTCTTTTATTTATCGATTGAAGCACTACGAAGTCTTTGGGGGGAGCTAGTATTTATTTAAAAATAACCTTATTAAAATTAACAAAAAATTCTGTGATTATTTATGTATTTTTCATGAAAATAAAAGTACAGTTGCATTTGAATAAAATCATTTAATTTTGGTTACATGCTTAAAATTGGAACAGTGGAGTTGATTTCATTCAGAGTTGCTGAAATCTTACGATATTTCCAAATTAAGAATTGATATCATAAGGTGTGAAGGTATGTTAGAAGGTGAAAGATACCGGATGTATCGGAATTTCGTAAAAATTATAAGATTTTCCGGAAGTTTTACAATTGTTTTTATAAAGAACTTGATTTTAAAATAAATGTTCATAAAATACGTATATTCATAGAGTAGCTGCAACTAAATTTTGATTTTATTTTAATTTTAGATGGTCTGGTTATAAAAGAGTATACGATAACAGTACAAACCGTTTTTTATTGCAGACTATAATTTTATAAGACAAAATTAAAAAAAGGAATACATACATAACTTGACCGTTAACAATAAAATGCCGCCAAATGTGTGCACATTTACCTTTATATCAGCCATCTTGTCAGTCGTGCTAATAAAACGTTTGCGATCAACGCAACTCACTATTTGTCTCAATAATAAGCCAATACATGGATTCAGTTTGTTAACTTTGGAAAAACAACATTTTTACGAATTGTAATGGTAAAAACACGACCTTATCGAAACAACGAGACGCCAAATTTGACATAGACACTTTTTAGTTTGTTTTTCTATATTCTTATCATAGATAATTCATCTTAAGTCGGTATGATGTTTCCTATAAAGACGATACCTACTTAAAAGTACTTTCCTACCTTTGTCTTTTGACCACAAACTACTCAGAGTCTTTGACTTAGCTTGTTGTTGAATTTAGTTCAAAGAATAAGAACATCTAAATACATAGTTTCGGTTGCTTTAGTAGTTTTAGTAGTTTAGAACATACTTTTAGTTTAGTGGCATAGGTTTAGTTGCTCTTTCTTCAAACTTATTTTCCAACACTCTGTAACATTAAATAGTTTATTAAAAACATCACGCCATTTGCGATCGACGCTATTTGACGAGTAAATTCTAACTCTGCTCTAACTTACAAGTTTACAACCCAAGAGCGAATTTTAGAACAGGTTTAAACCAATTCGTTACCTGATTTGAACATTTTATTAAGGTATTTCTAGAGCTGAAGGAAGTAATAAATTTTTCTCCACAACTACTAAGAGATACAAATAAAAACGCTTTATACTACATAAACTATAAAAGTAACATAAGAAACAAATTTCAAGTAACTGCCAAATTTTTGAAAAACATTTTGAATTAGTGAGACCTTAATGTATGAAGCTATTTTAACTATTTATACTGATTAGTTTGTCTTATTTGGCTTAATAACCGTAGTATTTTTTGTAATCAATCATTAAAATCATTCGCTTCTCAGGTTCTTTCAAAAAATTCATTGAACTCTTGGTGAGCTTTCATCATTTTACTAAGAGATTATTTCATATAATCAATTTCAATTTCAAAGTTGTTTTATTTCACCTCATTTACTTCATTACATTTCATTCAGTTTAATTCCAAACTGAATTTCAGTTCGTTACGCTGCATTTCACTTTTCCAACGACATAAAGACATCTCTTCACCTTTTTACTTCGAAAGTTAGACTCTATATTACGATTCCTTCGCCTTTATTGTGTTACTGAGTCTTGAGTGAAAATTGGACTGTCAAAACAAAAATAGGTTATGTTGTTACTATTTTAGTTCTAGTCACAGAAAGGTTTTAAAAGTAATAATTATATAATGTCAATCATATCATACGCATCGACAATAGTTAAAAGAGTTTCAGCTCTACGGTATCCATTGAAATGTAAAGAATGTATAAATAATGTTAATAAAGTTTCATTTAGTTCGAGTTCGGTCACAGCACGAACTATTCACGATGTCAACACAAACGTTGCCAAGGATGTAATCCTTTTTAAATACGAAAATCCTTCTTTTTATAAGTATATGAACATATTCGCTGGAGTTCAATATGCATTTTGGATGTATTTAGGTATATTCGCGTTTTCAACCTTAAAAGATGCACCCGTAGACAAATCGAAGATAACAGAAGACACTCCATGGTATAGAAAAATAAATTTGGGAGAAAATAAATACAAAAATACTCTTGGCACCTTGGCTGTGATTATTGGTAAGTTGTTCAAATGTAACAAGAAAAACATCTTACAAAGTAACTTACGTTTTAAACGTTTTTTTAGAATAAAAAGTCATTTTTGGGCAACAAAACACTTTTCGCAAATTAAAGGACTTGAACTTTAACCTCAGCGGCTAGAATAAATCTAATATTATAAAGCGGAGTGAAGCTAAATGAAAGGGCCATAAAAGCATTAAAAAAATGAGCCATTTAGACATTTACATACTTTTTTTTAATACTTTTGTTGCTTAGATGGGTAGATGAGCTCACAGCCCACTTAGTGTTAAGTGATCACTGGAGCCCATAGACATCTACAGCGTAAATGTGCCACCCACCTTGAGATATAAGTTCTAAGGTCTCAGGTAGTCTTAGATAGTTTTACAATGGCTGCCCCACCCTTCAAACCGAAACGCATTACTGCTTCATGGCAGAAACAGGCATGGTGGTAGTACTTACCCGTGGAGACTCACAAGAGCCTTTACCACCAGTAAACTCACCAGTAAATTTAACTCAACAAAACACAGATGTGAGACATATTTATTGAATGCAAGTATCATGTAAATTTTGATGCTTACAGTTATCAAACCCAATATAATAACTAGCTAATTTTAAAATAATTTAGTAGTATTCTTTAATGGTTAAACCTGTACTACAGGGGAATATACCTTGCTCTCTGACATCTACTGTCTCACTGCAACATCCTTTTTTTTTCACTGCAGCAGTTTTTCCCCAAACAAATACGCTAGTGGTTATGAGAGGTCCATAGATACAAACTCGAAACTTATGGAAATTCAACAAATGCCAACAATTCTATAAATATTTGTACAACATTATGCATTGTTTTATTTCATGGCAATGAACTTTGAAGTAATTTTTTTGTTTAATGACAATACAGTCTACTATTGAATAGGGAATAAGGATGTCCCCTCAAAATGTTTATTCTCTTAGCTTTAGAATGCCTTTATTCTANCCATAGATACAAACTCGAAACTTATGGAAATTCAACAAATGCCAACAATTCTATAAATATTTGTACAACATTATGCATTGTTTTATTTCATGGCAATGAACTTTGAAGTAATTTTTTTGTTTAATGACAATACAGTCTACTATTGAATAGGGAATAAGGATGTCCCCTCAAAATGTTTATTCTCTTAGCTTTAGAATGCCTTTATTCTATTTTGGTATAGTTTTTCATATATGACTTTAAATGTACAAAATTAATTAATAGCCTTTTTTGAAAGAACTTGCCTTAAGTTGAATATTATAATGCTGCAGGGGCAGGATCCTTAACAATGATATGGATGTACACCCTTCGTTCCGTGAGATATTTAGTTCTCCACAAAGGAGGCAAGCATGTTTCATTGGTCACTTACGCTCCATTTGGTCGCAATCGATCCATGAAAGTTCCCATTGAAGATATTTGCTGTCAGGAAAGAAGGACAGTGGCAAAAGTACAGCTACCTCTCAAAGTGAGAAATAGAATGATGCATTATATGCTGGATATGAGGGGAGAGTTTAAAAACCCTTTGCTGTTTGATTGTACCGCAGGCTTACTCAGGAAATGGGGGAAAAGTTAGAGAAGATCATGTGATAATAGAATAAATTTCAGCATCTGACTTTTGGTACATTTGAAGATTCACTTAATCAGGTTTATTGTATCACTTGTAAACTAATAAAAATATAATTTACATTATATTTTGTTTTTTTTTGTTCTTGAGCTATTAAGATAATTTCAAATGTTATATATATATATATATTAATTATAAACAAAACCAAATAATATGTGTTTCAGAAAAATCTTTATTAAATTATAATTACAGTAACAGAGAAATCAGTTTGTCTCAAGTCTCAACACAATTATTAATATTAACAAAAATAAAACGTATATACAAAATCTTGACTTAAACAGAGTTGGCGCTAATGTTAACATGTGTTCTTACTTTGCAAAATAATGCATAATCAAAATTGACCTGTGAACATTATTTATTTAAGGTACATTTGCGCCCCAAGCTCTACACAAAAAAGTTAGTCTTTTGACATTAGTGATTCTCCAATCAACTTACATGAGAAAAAAATTTAACAAGACATTATTCACTTCAATGCTTGGACTATTACCAACTAGTTTTGTTTTAATCATATTAAACTTTGTTGTTTCTTGTGTATATTTGTGTGTTCTTGTGGCATTTATAGTCTAAATTTCTTAAATTGCCAAGAGATATATTTTCCTTTAAAGAATGTTTATTGTGAAACCTGTTTTAATGTAAGTTGGGCTTCCATGGGAAACAAAATTAAGTGCAAACTTAGTGAAACATTATATGTTTCTCACTTTTTTGAAGGGATTTTGGCAGTATTTTATTTCACTAATTCATATTTGAAATAATTTGATGATGGTAATGACAAATAGACAAAGAATACGTTGTTATTTTTCGTCAAGCATTGAAATGAATGAACATCAACTTACGCCTATCTTACACATTAACATTTAAGTCTACAAATGCTTTACCTAGCTTGTCACATCAAGCCAAACAGGATCAATGGTAAGTTTATTTCAATGTGGAGATCCGAAATAAAACCAATACCTCTAAACTACATAATTAAAAAACATTTACGAATAGATTCACCGATTCAAGGGTTCATTTAACATCAATCCTTGAATATAACATTTGAAAGACGTTGACGATGTTCAAATATTTTCAAGCGAATGTACCTACCTAAAAAAGCACAGCTAAGAATACGAGAGACTCGCACGCTCACACCGCTGATCGTGTATTGTAATATACCGTAAAAACTTTATTCTTCAATATTAACAGAAACCGTGAATATGGAAAACCGCCTTTACAAAGAATATTCGGTTGGATACATATTGGAATTCTTTTTATCAAAGTGTATGTATCGATTAAATCCGCGAATAAAGATAGCTTAACCGCGAACATAGGAATTGGCTCGTATTTTTTTTATCCGTGAATAGTGGACATTGCGAATGAAGGAAGCGCGAATAAGGTGCTTTCACTTTAGTAATTTTGGATGAAATTTCTAGTTTTCTAGTGGCAGTATCTAGATTGTCGTGTCTATGGATGTGAGCTCGTCGATCCGAGTGACACAGCAGTAAAAAAAAGTTGTGTTATTGATTTTTTTTAAACAGACTAGACATACACGTGCAATGCATACAGAAAACGGTTAAGTGATGTAAAATCGGTACTCATTGATGAATTCACGCAGAGCAAGAAATAGGTAATAGAATTGGTAACAAGTCTAGTACGAAATCACAAACAGACAATTCTATTTTCTTTAATAAATACAATTTTGCACACTTTTTTTACCTTTCAATGAAAGTGCTAAATAAAATATACATAAGAAATCGCAGGCGTGAAATTCAACAATACAGTCTTGATTGAAAAGGTTACGATTATGTATAATAAAGCAAGTATATATATTGCGAGCCTATTTTGAAAAAACGCATTCAAATAACTTTTAAAACGATGAAGCTTTTAAAATTTCTGTGTCGGATATTTTTATGAGCATGGTGCGTACGTAGTGAGACATCCCGCCATCAGATTTGCACGTCAACACTTGGCAGTGATATCATGAACCATTTCGTTAGTTTTTTTGTCATTTATAAATTAAGCCCGCACCACCGGATCTAAACTATCAAACTTCTAAATTTTCAGAAATTTCGTTAATGTAGCTTTTTGATAAAAACAATCAGAATAATATATGGGGATCCCTATTTATAGTAATAACATTTTCATTGTATAAAATATCACATCTCTGTACATAATGTCACATAAAAATTGAAAACTGCTTAATTTAATTTCAACACATTTAAGCGGTCACACATTTTTTAAAACAAATAAAGGTCATTGGAAAGTTAAAGCGAATTTAAAAAAGTTGCCATTTTCATAAATCATAAAACAAATTATTAATTAAAAACACGAGTTAAAACACCATCGATCCTCAACAATAAAATTAAGTACAATATTAAATTCTTATTTACAATTAAAATCATAAATATTTAATAAGACTACTTTAATATTAATAAATTATGTTTTATTTTCAGGCTTTCACTATAGATTCATTCTCTCATAAATACATGAGGTCACATATCGCCCTGGATATAAAATACCGCGTAATATTTAACAATAGGTTACTTCGTGCAAAAAACAAACGACGTGACATTTGAAAAAATCTTGACATTTGTAGTCTGTAAAATTAAAATGCGTTTGCCGTTTTGAACGTGAAAAAAATTTTTTTTATACTTTCTTATTAATCTGAGTGTTGCTATCAAGGGCGATATGTTAAATATTATTAAATAAAGTGCTGTTCCACACTGCATTGCAGTTACGTCTTAATGTTCACACACTTATAGGAGTATGTCACGATCGTTATCGAAGCCTAAACAATAATTAATCTTTCAATTACACGAAGCTATCGATAGAAACTAGTTTGTGTTTAAATAAAAATGTAAATTTATATTTCATAAAACTGCAATGTCAAAACATTCCTCCGCATTTTAATTGAATTTAAAATCTAATTAGCACATTGCGTTTACCAGGAGTTCGTTTTTTAAATAAATTTAATTGAATGATATTTTTTAATTCTGCTCTGCTATACATCTCAGCACTATCACAATCATCGTTTTCGCCAATGGTTCCAAATACATCATACAATATCTTATTTCTTCAACTATGTATTATTATTATATCATTGAACGAAACATCTTGTCTATGTTCACAAAAAATACAGTTAATTTTAGATTATATAATTCTGTATCTCTTTAGAAAAATATATTAAGTATACATTGGATTATTTCGTGTCAACTCTCTTATGAACTACGGATTAGAATCACATTTCGTAAATTTTGTATTCAATTATTTTTAATGTTAGAAATCAAGCCATTAATTTTGATAAAACAAACTTATCGCCACATCACACAGTTCTATCGAGAGTCAACTTCATAAGTTGCCATCGTGCCTTTCATTTTTACAAACAAAAACGATTCTAAAAATGTTTTATTCAAAAAAGTAAGTACATTTGTTTTGATTTTGACAGTCGCGTTAGCATATTCATAAGTTTAAAAAACAGTATTATGTACATAAGTCACTTAAACATAAATGTTAACAATATATTTTTAATGACGTTTTCTTTTTTTTATCGTACATCAATGAGTTTGGGGAAATAAGTCGCTATTTTATCTCAGAACGAAAGATCAACGGTCGTTTGCCAAAATTCAAAATGGTTGCTATTACATACGTCATTCTGGCATTTGCTGTCAATTTTCAAACGATAATGAGCGATTTCGAACAACGAACAATTTTTTTGGAGTTTACTCCTTTAGAATCGATTTACATATATAGGCCCGGGGTATGAAAATTATGGGGACCAAAATCGTACTAGCATGTCACACGAAATGCGTTATGCGCCTGATTGCGCATGTCACACGAAATGCGTATCGCAGGTGACGCCGGGCTGCTGCGCCGGCAGTCCGCCACAAAGCCTCGTACTGATCGCGCGTTTCTCTCATTATTGTATTTTCATATATTTGTTAGTCGTTTGTTTTGTGTCTCGTTAATTTGTTAATAATCTGTAGTGTATCGTGTTGTCGTAATATAGAACTATTTCTCGTATTGTTTCGTTTAATTTTTTATATCCAGTAAACTCCAGTCGTGCGTCGGAGCGGACACACACACTTTTTTTTTTACAAGCACTATGTATATACGTATTGTCAAATCAACATGTGGAATTATTTTTCTCGCACACAACGTCATATGGCTATACAAAACGAAATCTGTACGGAATGTGCGGCCCATTGTGGTAGCCGAGACGATTATCGTTTATCATACCCGTTCGACATAGATAAAAATGGATATAGGTTTACTAACTAAAATTTGCTGGTTATAGGTATAGCACGCCCGTAATTACCACCGTCCAGCTAATTTCTGCCGTGAACAGTCACGTGTTCCTGTTCGAAGGCCGAGAGCATCATACGATACAATCGAGACTGGTGGTGTTCAGGTCATGATTGATGTCTATGAGCTCCGGTAACCATTTAACAACATATATTATAGGTCATGAGCTCCATTCGCCCATCTATACAATAGAAATAAAAAGCTTAGCTATCAACTTTGATACTTAATGTTATACTATAAGATCGCCAGAGTCCGTTGACCCCGGCTTCAGCAGATTGTTTTTGTTACATTGCGTGCTGTGTCGAAAGTTTTAGTATTATCAAGGTCATCGCGGTAGGAACCACAAGCACTACATTTTGTTCATCTTTAGGAACAGATCTCAGTCCATCAGTCCAATCTGAAGTCTTGGAACCGTATGGTTCGTTTGCGCCATTAAATATTACAACTCTAAATGCAATTACCTCTCTCTCTCTATTTCTCTCAGAGTTTTGGTTCTAGGTCGAGAAGCTAAAAAAGGCGATGCCATTTACAAATATACGAATACGACTTTTTTTTTCATACAAGCATCGATCATTAGGCCCCGTATATTTCTTTGTTTAAATACATTTGAAGCTACACATTTTGTACTGTATGAGTTAGTTATTTTTGTATATATATATATATATATCTCGATTTCATCTAATGCTCTGAGCCCTGTTGAGTTCCGTCCAACAAAGCTATAATTAAGGGGAAGCGAAAATCACAATGTATAACCAAGTAACATTCCTTGAACATTTCAACTTGACATATCCTAAATTACTAAGTTATAACATTTTCGTTCATCACATATATATATTTATTTGTTTTAATTTCTACATTTATAATATCGTCCACAAAATATTTTTTTATCACATTTACGTACAAGTTCTTCGGTCAACACGTTACACGATAAATCGTCTCAACGACGAGCAGGCCCGAGTCTTGCCAACACAAAAAACTAGCAGTGTTGCCAACACGAAGAAACGTTTTTCGACGATTGACACGATACATCGTATTTGACTGACAAACTGTGCAGAGTAAGTCGCTGGCCAGTACCGGTGTACGTTGATACGCGTGCGTCACCGTCTAGTACCTTGGTGGGTGTCAGTCGCTCAGATATCGATCCCGGGACCTCTCGTGGGTGATCTCGTCATCGTCGTCCCTCCCGGGACTGATGCTATCGACCTCGTCTACCTCTTCAAGATTCTTCGTGCTTGGATTGCACAGCCTTGAAACGTTAAAAGATGCGTTATCAGTCAACCAATTCCATTCCTTAAACATCAGTTTTAATAAGTGGAGTTAATGTTTAAAAGAAACCAATTCTGGTTTGAATTTAACAGTTATGGCAGTTTATACTTCGACATCGTATCTCAAGTATAACATTCGAAAATCACACTATCTCAAACAATGAAATCTCGAAAATGATGCCATGTTTCTATGTGGGTAGTCTAAAAATGACATTGTGATATTATTATATTGTAATTACTGTTTAAACGGCCTACGAAACACATTTGCACAAACGAAAACGGTCAAAAGAGCAAGGTTGTGTATCCGCCATTTAACATATTTCGTTTCAATAACATCTATAGGCATCGGCAACTAGACACGAAGACAAAAGATCTGATACCTGAATACGAAATATAAAGACGTATTAGAAAAATAGGTGAACTCTTTCTTCAGAGGTTGGAGTTTACTATGATTGAATCACCAACTGTGAATGTACAGGAATGTATTTAGATGCAGTTAATATTACCTGCACTTGCAGCACACGATACAGGGCGCCGCGAGCAGCAACAGCGGACTGGCGACCAACAGCAGCAAACCGAAGCCAGCAAATATACCGACAACCTGAAATTAGTAACATTCCCAAATCATTCTCTAACTACCCGAAATATGCAGTACGAATGCGCGGTTATTGCTCCCGAGTTTACTAAGCTTTACATTGCGGGTTTTAAAGCAAATGAATATTATCCTTCAATTTCTTTTAAGGGTCTAATTGCCAATATTTCTGGTTTGAAAGACGCTCTCTTATTGGAGGCATCGCGTTTGTCCGTTACAAGCTTAACCAGTCTCAATAATGGACGACAGACAATAGAAATAAATAGTTTTTAAAGTGTTCGGAATCAAATAATTGTTTGACTTTTGCTAGGGTTTTTTTAAATATGATAAAATCAATTTTTAAGCCTAAATATTAAAAATCTCAATTCGTTCATCAAATATTTTGGTGACGAAGGGAAAGCTTTAAACTTACTTGAGCACGGTGCCACAGTACAGAAGCTCGCGAGTGTCCAAGTTTGTTTTTGCACGGTCCCTTGTCATAGTGTCGTAGAAGGAAATCGTCCTGTAATAAAATAGATAATTTCTTACTAGCATCCTTTTTTTACTAGCGTCAATCGTTATCGTTACACGTAGTGAGTCTAAAGCATGAGAAGCACGTATTCAGGTTGTTATTTCTATCGGCTCCAGTAACACCTCGACAGAAACTAGGCCGTCTGTTCAATTATAGATAAAATAACAATGTACAATGAAAATAATTAAAAACGAGCTAAACCACATGACAGTCGTCGTCTAGTTTCTCCTTAGGTTCACGATTATGAATCTACTAAATGGCATTACAAGCTTGGCTTGCTAAATTAATAGTGGTTTCAACTTATTTTAAGGGAAGAGAATGTATCCAATTCGGCGTCGAAAAAAATTACCTTACAATCTGAGAGTCAACGTAAAACTTTTTTTTTTAATCTTTATTTGAGTAAAGAAACCATACGTTTTGTTAGTAAGTATTGCTTATAATCTATGTTAGTAACTTAGGTATTATAAAATCCTAAAACATCACTAGCTGATTATTTATTACATTTTTTTTTCTCAAATGCCTGCTGCAAAAGCTGTTTATTAATAAGCGGTCCCTCGATTTTTTTTGCTTGCGATTATACGGAATGTCATCCTTAATTTTCTTTGAGATGCACACTGCAATTATTTTTATGCACCCAATACGTTCGATTTTATTCACACCGACTTTCAAGACGCAAAAACGACATTGTGTTATCAAAAACGAAATCCGGGAAGTTAATATATTTGCGTTATAACTACAATCCTGTCCGTTTGTCTCACAATACGCGTACCGAACATATAACGGCACAACTTTTCGGTATTATTACAAGAAAATTTAATTCTTGCATTTTAATCAAATTAATTCTCTTTTAATGTACCTAAAATTCTAGACAACGGTGAGCGCTAGGAGCGTATCATCTAGTTTATTTTTTATAAATATTGTTGAAGACCGAAAACCGGTCCTGACAATAAAACGTGCTTTAGAAAGCGTTACACTTCTGCGAGCGAAAGTGTAGCTTTTATGTTAATTACTAAAGAGTGTTCACGGAAACCGTAATGTTTTGGAGTTCGCTTAATGATACTAGATCCTAATTATCCTTCACTCATATTTATAGAAACAGGAGTTGGTGAAGAATCTCAATTATGTTAAATAACGCTTATCGCGGATTGTTTACGAAAAGCGCTAATGGCGTAGAAGATGGTAGCACCTCCTCATACGGCATAGCGGCATCGATACGAGTACGCCTGCTTATCACGCCAAGAACGCTTCAAAGCTTCAAAAATAGCTGTTACATACATTTAGATAAACTACAAAAAGGTTTTATTCCTTAAAAATGAGACGCGAATGATTTTATCATCGACTAACCTATTTACGACTAATTTCGACTTTTTAGACATTTCGCGGGTACCATATTTATTACAGATTTTTTTGCCTGCCTATTGCTATTAACCTTGTGGGGTTATACAAGCTGCACCAAACATGTAGCTAAGCTCACGGGGCTCAGCCTTGGAGGCTTTGTTCGCATCTGCCCTAACAAGGGCAGTGCTTTATTAAATCTACCATCGGATCAGAATCGCGACCTACTGACAAGATCCGTCGAGAAACTGAATAAGCTGTGTTTGTGGGTTAGTTTTCACGGCGAACACTTCGTCGCATTCAACGGATTCGACGAGAACGTGAGAAAAAATCACCGATAGTGTACCGAGAGGATCCGAAATGACGTGTTTGGGGCAACGGCGACTGTTTACCGTTTGATCGCCTGGATCTCGGACATGGCCGGCGGCCATGCTAAGATGGTCAGCCTGTCTTTATTAAACGATATGTATCCTTCATCATGGAAATCAAAATATTCCATATCAGATAAATGTTTACTTAGAAAAACTGATATCCACAGGTAGGATTTGAACATTTGTGTATTTCCCATGACTCCTCCATACTACTAGGTAGGATTTGAACTTTTGTGTATTTCCCATGACTCCATACACTTACAGCGGGAGGACGTAGCTTCCCTTCCAACGACCAAGAGTGACTGGAGTGGGATGTGGTAGTGGCAATTTCGGACTAGCCATTGGTTCGCCTAGGGGTTCCGTAAGTGCGCGTATGTGATATTAAAAAAAGGAACATAAATTCAAATCAGAACTATGCACCATTTCCAGAAACAATAAGGGTCATTCCCAAAAACCTTTGCAGGCCAGTAGCGGTAGAAAAGAAATCGATAGTACGTGTTTGTGAAAAGTGTTTTTTTTTGTTTTTTTTTTTTGGAATACTTAAAAATAAAAATACATAAAGTAATAATTGCTTTTAAAGCCTTACGAGGCGAGCGTGAAACACAAAGGGTCATTGTGTAGCCTGACGCGTTGGCACAGTCCAAATACATAAACGTAAACATAGAACAAATTTCAAAATATTTTAGATTTCTGAGATATTATTGCGGATACAGCAATCAAAATCAAATAAGTAAAGGCTGAATGCAGAGGCCAAAGAGCTACTTAGTCAAGAAGCATGACATTATAGATTGTTACCTTACTATCTGAGGCAGAATTCAGGAATTCTTTACTTGAAAAAAATCGATAAAAAAATGTTTGACTCTACACTTAGTCTAATGTAACCTAATGAATTATCTAGAATCTAAACTTTTTTGTCATAGAACAGACATCAACAGACGATAGGGGGCCTGCAAGCAACTTCAACATTTAGGTGCTAGGAATTCTCCAGTAATAATATTTATTATTTATTACATAACCCTATCCATCATTTATATTGCATGTCTGTCCCCTATATGTTTATACCTAAAAATATTAATAGTCTCTCTTCGCATGCTGATATAACGGCACCTCTTTCTGATTTAACAGTATGTCAAAATGTCATTGAACATTGTGAATTTCTTTTAATTGGCATACTGCGGTATGAACTGTGGCGCCTCGGCAGCACCGTAATGAAACGGGCCGCACGTTAGTAACGGTGGAGGTTCAAGGAAAGCGCAGGTTTCCCGCCGGCTAATTACAAAACGCCACGGCCCCGGCACGGTTTCGTTCACGGGAAAAACATGTAAGAAAGCTCGCGGTTTGGTCTGCTTTAAAAATTTGTTTTTCAGTTGAGACATTAGGTTACATAAAGAGAGAGAGAGAGAGAGAGAGAGAGAGCCGAAGATCGGGCAAAGCTCGGGAGGAGTTACGGTTTAGTTACGGTTGCTTAGATTTGTGGACGAGCTCATAGCCCACCTGGTGTTAAGTGGTTACTGGAGCCCATAGACATCTACAACGTAAATGCCGCGACTCACCGTGAGATATGAGTTGTAAGGTCTCAGATAGTTACAACGGCTGCGCCACCCTTCACACCGAAACGCATTTCTGCTTCACGGCAGAAATAAGCGGGGTGGTGGTACCTACTCGTCCTACTGCCAGTAAAAAAAAATCCGTGTGCTTATACTCACATCGAGGGAAGCGAGGCAGTACCAGCAGAATACGTGCTTGCATCGTTTACACATCATCTGGGCGCATCCCTCGTCCTTCTCTATTGGCACCCTGCACATCGGGCAGAGCTTGATCAGCTCGGAGTCCGGTAGCAATGGGGCCCCGGCGCCGCCCATCGAAGACGAGGCCGCCGCCGCCTCGCAAGTCATCCCGCCGTGCCACTGTGAAAGGAAATTTATATTAGCAGGTTATTGAGAACTGAACTTTTTTATTTTTTGCTTAGGCTGGATGGACTAGCTCACGGCCCACCTGATGTTAAGTGGTTACCGGAGCCCATAGACATCTACAACGTAAATGCCGCCACACACCTTAAGATATGACTTCTAAGGTCTTAGTTTTAACAGTACAGCGGCTGCCCCACCCTTCAAACCGAAACGCATTACTGCTTCACGGCAGAGATAGGCGAGGGAGGGGTGTGGTGGTACCTACCCGTGGGGACTGTCTACCACCAGTAATTAATTTTGCGAGTTTCATTTTTATTACACGATGTTATTCATTAACCGTGGAAGTCAATCGTCAACATTTGTTAAGTACGTATTTCATTACAAAAATTGCCTGCCCGCCTGCGGGATTCTAACACCGGTGCATCGAAAGATATGAACGCACCGGACGTCTTATCCTTTAGGCCACGACGACTTCAACCGGTCTACTCAATACTAATAAAACGTGATTTATAAACGAATAAAAAATTTCGATGGGTGCTCCAAGCAATTGCTTATATGCCTACTTAAAAACCATTACCGTTACAAAAAAAAATAACGTACCAAACTCAGTCGTATGTGAAACGCACAAAGGTCAAAATTAACATACAATTGATTTTTTATTGTATTAAATTGAAATAAAAATTACTCAATACGCGGGTCGTGGTGGCAAACTTATCGGTTCAAGGTAGTCGAATTGTAGGTGAATTGCAGAATTGAAATAATTTCACCTTTATTACACGTTATGTTAATTTCGCAACCTGAATTGGTCGAATAGTTCTGGACCCTTTGAATAGGGCCTGGGTATCTTTTAATATCCCTCCGGCCAAGATAACACAAGCGAAAATCCTGATTGAATATGGAACATTGAATTTCCAACCTTAACTGCTTGAATATAGATATTTTTTATTGTAAACTACTGAGCTGACCCGGCAGACTCCGTAGTGCCTCAATCGATAAATAAAAGACCTAAACTTTTGTATAAAATAAACTTAAAACAAACAAAAGGAATCCGTCCGACGAAAATTGTTATTTTTATTTAATTGCGAGCGTTTTCATATTTATCTACCTTTTAAACCTTCTCTGGACTTTAAAAATAAAATAAAAATAAAAAGACCTAAATAAAAAAATAAATAAATAAAAGAAATAATAATAAAAGACCTAAACTTTTGTATAAAAAAACTAAAAACAAACAAAAGGAATTCGTCCGACGGGCGACACATCAAAGGAAAAACCAAAATGTTATTTTTATTTAATTCCGAGGATTTTCATATTTATCTACCTTTTAAACCTTCTCTGGAGTTCCAGCAATAATTGAAGACCAAAATTAGCCAAAACGGTCCAGCCGTTCTCGAGTTTTAGCGAGACTAACGAACAGCAATTAATTTTTATATATTGTAAGTAACGAAGGTACTAAGATAGGTACTATTACTACGATGGTAATTTTTAGGCGCTCAAAAATGCCACCCTACTTTTTTACCTAAGGACGTTACCTGTACTGTTTAAATAAATAAATAAAACCGGTGTCATAATAATATCATAGTCGCGAACAGGTATAATGTATGTATATCGTTTGGCTAATGTAAACGTAATCAAGATTAAGCTAAGTCATTTAAAGCGATTAACATTTTTAATTTAGGCAAGCACTTCACGGTCTTCGAGCGCGACCTTGTCGTGAATTCGTTTATTTATCGCTAATCGTATATTTTGCAGGATACCCGCGATCCCTATCCGCTAACGCGAACGACATAAGTACTAAAATTTTTAAATATAAAAGACATATCCAAGTTGGTTACTAAATAAAGGATAAATAAAGGCGGATAGAGTAAAGCGATGTAGATAAATTTTGCATCGACCTTCGCCTAATGAGACAAGGACAAAAGGAAGACAAAATAAAAAAGTAAATACCCAAAATAAAATTCTAACACGCAATTAAAAAAAAAAAAGAGTTGCGTTTTATGACCAATAGACGCCGGTACGATTTGCATAAATTAGTAATTTAGAACCGCTTAATAATCCACCTAATGAGGACGTTGTAAAAAGTGAGGGCAAGAAACACTATATTTATGACATCCTAGATTGAGATTTCACGGCGCACCATAAACAGATATTTGAATGACGTTGTGCTATAAACGGTTAATAAAAAAATTATAAATACTAGAGGTCCCGCAGTAGTCGAAATTCGACTATAATGAATTGGAATTGTAAGTTTGTATACTATTGTGATTGTATTTTATACTTCTATAATCACAAATTTCGCCAAGACTACATTTTAAAAAATATTAACAAAGACAAACAATATTTAATCTATTCACAACTTGACAACAGAAGTCAAGAACAAAAGTTTGACAATAAATAGTAGGTATGCATGCGTGTGTGCGTCAAATACATGGTATGTAGTGTGTGTAATGTTTTCTTTATTGATTTAATGTATCTTTTATGCATTATTTTAAAAAAATATTAGCATTGTGCACTTCTTCTCTATATTCTCTATAACTGTGGAAAATTTCATACTCCTCCGTTCGCGCGTTTTTCGTGAAAAGGGATACAAAGTTTTTGCTTCACGTATTAATTAATATATAGATAATCCATATAATCCAATGTATGTATTACACGTAGTACGTTTCACTACTATGCGTGCCTAAACCATTTATCGGACTGTTATGAAAATTAGTACAGTTGTTGTTGGCACCTCAGGGAAGGTTTATGTCATAGTACTATCAACTTAAAACTTAACAAGTTCCATTTGTTTTAAAGTCCTTACAATCAACGCCTAATGTCTGGCAGCGGTTAATTAGTCCGAATCAAATAAGCTTCCAGCGGCCTCGACGAAATAAACCTCTTCCAAACGCAATGCCGTGGTAGGACGCGGGAACCCACCATGTGTATTTTCTCACGAAAGCTTCATGAGGCCACAATGCCACGACCCTCAGCATTGAGGATTATCGACGTAAGGAGGAGGATAGATAGACGAACATACAGCCCGTCTGGTGATGGCAAATACTACCAAGGCGCTGATTGAGGACTCTCCTCGGAACCCATTTGAGTAATGCGTCGGGAAACACCATGATGGGATATTCATTTTAAAGTAAATGGGACGCATAATTTTTCGCAACGCACTGCGAATCAACACAACTTAAGTAGTGTCGATGAGTTCTGTTCGAGAATTTTCTGTATTTTATATTCATAAATGGTGTATGGTAGTTAAGCTTGTCTCGACTTCTAAAGTCTTCTTAGTGTCTGGCTGAGTGGTATCTCGGTTTTATGACTTTGGCGCGCGTTTCTGGCGACAGCTTGGTTATGCGTTGTATCGAAACATCTGGATGGTTAATCGACCAAAGAGTGATGAGAAACGCGTAAGCAATTAGACAAATATTTAGGTTTAAATGATTTTGTCAACTAAGGGAAAATGTTCCATACGACAGCGGTGACCAAAGCGTTCTTTGAGCCATGTGATGAGATACATACACATGTATGTTTAATTCTTAAGGATTCTCAGGTTCCGGCCAATAATCTACCACAAGTAGTATGTAAAGATCGGTACTCAAAATACATTAGATGAAATCTTATATTAACGAGCGCCGTCAGTTTCCCATTCTCCATGACAAGTCTGAGGTAATCAATGATATTCACCAAGGCCGCGACTGTGATATTACCAGGACGAAAACTGGATTAGAAAGGATTTAGAAGTCGATTATCGATTGTTATTTTATGTATAAACTAAACGCAATTGAATACAAAATTCAAAACCATGAAGTCACGCATTAGGGGCAATATGTTTTTTTTCAATTGTCCAAATAAATGAAACTAGAGGTGACCACTGCGGGTGGTCGAAATTCGACTATAATTAATTGTAATTGTAAGTTTGTATTATGATTGTAATTTATACTTCTATAATCACAAATTTCGCCAAGGCTACACTATAAAAAAATATTAATAAAGACAAACAATATTTAATCTATTCTCAATTTGACCACAGACGTCAAGAACAAAAGTTTGACAATAAATAGTATCCATGCGTGTGTGCGTCAAATACATGGTATGTAGTGTGTGTAATGTTTTCTTTATTGATTTAATGTATCTTTTATGCATTATTTGAAAAAAAAATAGCATTATGCACTTCTCTATATTCTGTATAAGTGTGAAAAATTTCATAGTCCTCCGTCCGCGCAATTTTTGTTAAAAGGGATACAAAGTTTTTGCTTCACGTATTAATAAATGAAATAAATTGAATGAGATAAATTTATAATAAAAAAACATCTATACGAAGAATGAGGTCATAGTTTTACCGGTGGTAGAACCTCTTTTGAGTCGATGTAGGTAGGTACCACCACCCTGCCTATTTCTGCCGTGAAGCCGTAATGTGTTTCGGTTTGAAGGGTGGGGCAGCCTTTGTAACTATACTTGAGACCTCAGAACTCATATCTCAAGGTGGGTGGCGCATTTACGTTGTAGATGTCTATGGGCTCCAGTAACCACTTAACACCAGATGGGCTGTGAGCTCGTTCACCCATCTAAGCAATATTTTTTTTAAAAAAAACAGTCCTCTAGGAAATCCAAGGGTTTAAAATAATAATAAGTATTCCTCTGCAATCCACCTTTGTACCTAATAATCCAACAATTTCTTGAATAACATCAGAAATACCATCAGGCCATCTACTTTATTTCATGTTTTATTAAAAAAGCTAAGGTATTTAAATAGAAAAGGGTTCTAAGTTAAAATAAAGAGGAGTGGAAACGGCGAAGATTAAACTGGGAATTGGGACCGGAGGGGCGGGTTTTAATAAATAAATTCTTACGAGGGATCCAACGTTATGGATGCCTGGAAACGAGAGTTATCTTTGGTTAAATACTGAAAAGGTGGTAAATAGGTCAGTCTATGTAGCGTTGTAATGAGGAGGGACAACGCAAATAGAACCGACATTTACACCTGGTCATTGAACATAGCTTGAAGATACGTT